CCAGCAATGTGCCAGCAGCAGCTTGGAGCAGGGGCTGATCCCTCCACCCCACCACACTGCCCTCCTTGACCCTGGCAGTCAGAGGAAAAATGCTTCCCCCTCAACAGCCACTGTAAGCCCAGGAGTAATGTGTTCTTAACTGCCCTTCAGAAAATGCACAGCAGTGGATGGGGTGGGCACGGGGGGAGAGGGAATAAATCTCTCTTTCCACTGGCTCCTATGTGGAGATGAACTCTGCATTTTAATGGCTGCTGAGGAACAGGCTGTCCCTGCTACCAGGGGCACATCCCGCATCGTGCAGCCTGCAAAGCCCCAGCTGAGATGCTTCAGGAGGGTACCAGAGAGCAGTGGCAGCAGCTCAGAGAGGCTGGGCAGTGAGGGAGGGACATACAGAGGCATTGCTGCATGGGGGCTTTGACTTTAGACAGGAGGAAAGAAATCCATCCTGCAGACCAGGGTCTAATCCAAGCCAAGCAGGGAGTAATCTCAGACCAAATATAGCCTGTGCTGCAGATCAGGGCTTGCAGCAGCGTGCTGGGCTGCTCCTGGCTGGGGGTGGCTTCAAAGCCCATTACAGGCAGCTGCTTCCAGCCCAGTGCCTACCACCTTCTGCTGATGCAGTTCCCCATCGAGGAGGGACAGGCACATGGTTGGTGAGGCTGAATGTTCCTGCTACTGCAGCCTTCTCCTCCCACTCTCCAGGCGGTTGTGTTTTGTTGTTGGGTGTTTTTTTTTTAACTGAAAACATCTGGACTAAATGACAAGCCCATTAATAAAATCATAAATTGAGTTGATCTCTTAGTTTAGGAGAAGAAGATGCAAAGTTTAAAAGGAGGGGGAGAAGAACCAGCACTTAAGGCAAACCCACACAAAATTTTCAGGTCTACATTAGCTTCAGGCAGGTAGGTTTCTAAAGTTGTAGCAGCACACTGGTACCAAGGTAGGGTCACTCCTTCCTCCCTGCCAACCTGCCGGAGCAAAGGGAAGGAGCAAAAAGGCAGGCAGGGGCAAGAGCAGAAGCAAAACCCAGCACCAGCTCAGGAGACCCCTATACCCATGCACCATGGCAAGTTAGGGCTGGTTTCAGGCCAGGTTCACCTCATCCTACGTCTGTGGAGGCCAGCAGCACCCACTGTTCCGCACACCAGCACCAGGAGGGGCAAGCAGGGTAGGAGCAGAAGAGCCCAGCTGGAGCATTCCCCATATGAAGGTGCTACCAGCCCCAATACAGCTGCTCTCCCACCATAGCACACAAAGCCTCATTGAGGACAAGGTAACTGGGACTCATGCCAGAAGACACAGGAGCAAAGCTGGGCATGGGGCTTTTCATAAAGGAATGAAAAACCCAACAAGAGGATCTTTCAGTTGCTCATGGGATGGGAAGTGTTTTATATAGTGGCACCTGTGGCAAGGGCTGCACAGAACTGGTGGTCCTCCGGTCAGTGATGGGCTGGCATCCAAATCCTCTCATACTGGGATCTGACACTGCTTCCACAGCTGCAGCCAGAGCAGTTTGAAAGACAAGTGGGACATCATAATGTTCCTCACCCATCTCCCACAAAAATCAGTGGCACTAAAGTCTCAGTAGCTAAAACCAGTCTGAGACATAGAACAAAACAAGAGCATCATCTTTTTCCAGCAAGATAATGGGGGGAAAAAAGTGCAAATTATTTCAATAAACAGTATATTTAAAACCACTGCATTATCAGAAAAGGGACTTCTGCACGTGGAAGATAAAGCAGGATGTATCCAAATTTCAGCAACAAAACAAGAATCCTTTTCGAAGGACTTATCAGCATGGACCACCCAGCAGCAGGGCTCACAGCAGGAGCACACTCCTGGTTCAAACCACTCCCCTCTGCCTAACCCAGACCTCGCAGAACTAAAGCTGAGAGATGTCCTTGCCCACACCACGACTGTCTCAACGAGTCCAAGGCACAAAAGAACCAACACTTTGCTTGAGGAGACTATTTAGAGAGCAATATCCAGGGCTAAGTCAGCTAAGAGTTGAGGGCGGCAGGTGTGTATCAGTGTTGGCTATGGTGACCACTGAGTTAGCAGATCACCAGTTAGTTATCCTTAAATATGGCCATGCAGACAGCCACAAACACAAGAAACATTTATACACAGTCTGTATATCCAACCTGCTTGTTTTCCTTGAAGTAGCCTTATTTTTTTCCCCGCTAGCCCATACACAAGGCTGGTAACAGGGAGAGTTACATGAGGAGGCACTGGAGAGATGCTCAGGGGAAACCAGGGGTTACACACCAATTAAAGCACGACTGCTGTGAATGCACAGGAGGGGAAAAGAGAGATCAGAGCCTCTACAATCACTGTGCACTTAGTCCCCCAATTCGAAGCAGCTAATGATAACTTCCAGCTAAAAATCATGGAGATAACCAGTCATTAAGCAAATGTTATAACCCTAGAGAAGGAAAAGGCACTGCCTAACTGGAGGCAGCACAGTTATGGGTCACTACAGAGAAGCATCCCTAGGCACTAGTAGAGGGTTTTTTAATCAACATTAGGAGTAAAGCCTGTGCAACTAACATTTCCAACCATCAAGATTTTATGAGCCTCTACCTTACAGCTCTGTAATAAGCCAGACTGAAGAAGAGGCCCCATTAAACTGAGCAGGCATCCTCAAGAACCAAAGTAGGCTTACAAAGCCATTTACTCACAATCCTTGATACCAGACCAGAGAGCAGTTGCCTCTGCTTAAGCAAGTTCTGGCAGTCAAAAGGAGAGAGTTTTGGCACTGGGAAGCACCAAAGGGTCATTCTGGCCAAGCAGTTGGCTCTTGTAAATAAATGGCATTGCCATGGCATGTGTGTACAGGAGAGTTGTCATCCCCCAGAGCATCACGCAGCGTGGTGTGACAGCAGTGGGCAGAATGCTGAG